GCTGTTGGATGGGACAGTCTGCAAGCTTGTTAAATCTGGTAGATGTGCAGTATATCATTGTTTTGCCTTTTATAAAGACTTATTTTACTTATTTATGTGTGTGTATGTGTATGCATAAGTATGTTAGCATGTGTGTGTGTGTGTGTGTGTGTGTGTGTGTGTGTGTGTATAGAAGGAGTTCTTTGGATACAGCTTTTGTGAGTTGTTGCCCACATTGGGAAGAATTTTCAGTGGTACAATTGCCTTCAAGACCCCCATGCTCTTGTAAGTAACCATTCACCTATGACCTTCTCAATAATCCCAATAAGCTCACTGGTTCACCAAGCTAGACTGGGGTGGAATCATTTCTCTGGTCTATTGTCAGTACCCCATGCAGACTGAGTAGATATTTGTTCACGGCTCCCCAAGCAGAGTAACAACACACAACTGGCGCCTGCCCATCAGGAGCAAAGATGAGCGGATGGTGAGCAGCTCTCCAACTCTGTCGTGAAGGATGAGACGGGCAACAGAGGTTGATTTGTGTAAAGTGCAGCATCTTTGGGGCTCTTGGTTAGTTTTTAATCTCAACTTGATGCAACCTAAAGTCATGTGGAAGAGGGAACCTCAACGGAAGAACTGCCTTCATCAGATTGGTCTGTGGTCACGTGTCTGGGGCATTGTCTTGATTGCTAATTGATGTAGGAGGGCCTAGCCCATTCTGGGCAGTACCCCTACCAAGGAGGTGGGCCCGGGTGGCATAAGAAAACTAGCTGAGCAGAAGCCAGTGAAGGAACCAGTGAGCATCATGCCACCATGGTCTCTGCTTCAGTTCCTGCTTGAGTTCCTGCCTTGACTTCCCTCGGTGACGAACTGTGACCTAGATGCGTAAGGCACCCATGCTCTTTTCTCTCCTAAGTTGCTTTGGCCTGAGTGTTTCATCAGTGCAACAGTGAAGCAACCTAGAACGGAGCATCCTCACGTGGTGTTGGATGGCGAGCTTCTTGCTGTTATGGTGGTCACATCACTGTGGCGCATGATAAAGCATGTTATAAAGGCTAAGTCATCTGAGTGGAGTATCCTGGGGTTGGGTTCTGGAGGAGGCACCTTTCCTGTTTGCAGAATGAGTAGCATGTCTCACTGATCCCTAAGGACCGCCTCGGGAACAAGGAGACACTCTCAAAGGTTGATGGTCCAGGTAATATTTTTCAATCCCTAAAAAAAAGTCATGGAGCAGGTTCATAAGCAGACTACAACAACTGTTGGGTGACTTTTGCTGTGTGCAAAAAGAGATGCCACTGAAGCCCAGCTGTCTGCTCATAAAGACCTTGCCTGTGCCACGGGGTAAAGACCTGCAGGTGCTGGCCTTGAGTTTGTCAAGAAAAGGGGTAACTGCAAGGCTGAGATGCAGGTTTCATTCTGGCATTTTATACAGTTTGCAGGGTGCGAAGGACGGCGGGAACAGGTCAGATGTGTGCTAAAGAGCTCTTCTGGGATTTCAGAACCAGTGAGAGTATTCAGACAGTGGGGAGGGAAGAGGGAGGGAGGAGGGGGAGAGAACATGGCCAAAGTGATAGAATATATACTCCGGTCCAACCTCTAACACAGAAGAAAAGAAAAAGCTTGACTCGGCATGCAGAGTGGGCCCTAATAACGTCTAAGCCCCGGAATCTGGGATAATCAGAATAGTCCACATCTGAATTTCTTAAATGGGGAAAGCTTTTAAACAAGGAATAAAAAACCCGCTTCTCACAGCCTGGCTTGTGCAGCTGTGGGATAGGAGGGCAGATGTTATCAGTCTGAGTGTTGTGGAAGCAGAGAAACCAATAAAACTCCCCCGCCCCGCCCCCCCCACACCCCCGCCCCAGCATAATCTGCAGCAATCCAAGGGAAATCAGTCCCTGGTGCAACGGTTTGTATGAGATACTAGGAACATTCAGCGATTGTTCGTCAGTGTGCATGTCATAGGCTGGAAGGGAAGAAAGGAACAACAGGCATTTGTGAGGTGACTGAGCATGAAAGATAAGATATTTGATGCCAGACAGGTTATGTATTCACTGGAGAGTGAGGAGCCGCTGACTTAGCAGGGGCCTCAGGACCAGCATGCGGTTTGTTTTAGTTGCTTTTCCATTGTCACGGCACAAAACCATGATGAACACAACTTAAAGAAGAGAGCATTTAATGGGGGCTTGCGGTCTCAGGCAGTAAAGCCATTACCACTATGGTGGGGAGCATGGTGCTGGAACAGTGTGGAGGGCTCACACCTGATCCACAGGCACTAGGCAGAGAGAACTAACTGGGAAAGGATGGGCTTTTGAAGCCTCAGAGCCCTCCAATAAGGCCACACCTCCTCCAACAAGGCCACACCTCCTAATCTTCCTCAAACAATTCCATCAACTGGGAACCAAGTATTCAGATGTGTGCACCTACGGGGGCCATTCTCCTTCAGCCCACGGCAGCGTTTTAATGACTTTGCTGAGCTCTAAGATGGGGCATAATCTTTAGAAGGTAGGGGAGGATATGACAGACCCGAGTATCTCAGACTGGCATATGGGTTGTGCTTGTAAAGTACTAGAGAGAAGAACAAAATTGGAAAGGGGGTCTGTCCAGGGTCTGTCACGTGAAGGCAAATGTGGCAAAATTCACATGGAGCCAGAGTCCTCAGGGTAAAAGTTAACAGAAAGCCAAATGCTATGTCAGTGAAGCTGCAGATGCCCAGGTTGTCCAGCCTGCGGACTGTACGCTGCACGAGGCCCAGGCACGTCCAGTCTGTAGACTGTAC